CTTGTTCCTTTATCTTGTTTATCTCTAGAGCCTTAGCATTGAGCCTGACACTAAACAGATCCTTGGAAATATTTTTTGAATATCTGAATGAATAACATAACCTTTTCTCCACTCCCATAATTTTACTTTATCAACCTTTCATCTTCCTTGCTTCTAATGTACACCAAACATTTTCACTCCATTAATGTAAAAATAAATACAAAAAAAGTGCCACTGCCGAGACCGGTTTGGCTCAATGGATAGAGCGTCGGCTTGGGGACTGAAGGGTCCCGGGTTCGATTCCAGTCAGGGGCATGTGCCTTGGTTGCGGGCACGTCCCCAGTAGGGGGTGTGCAAGAGGCAGCTGATCGATGACTCTCTCTCATCGATGTTTCTAACTCTCTATCTCTCTCCCTTCCTCTCTCTGTACAAAATCAATAAAATATATTTAAAAAAAAAAAAAAAAAAAAGTGCCACTGACTCACTGTGGCTAAGGGATCAATCAAAACTCCTCAGTTTGAAATGAATGCCATTAATGACCAGGACCCGACTACCTGCTTTTTCAGCCTCCCCTTCCTTCCCTCAATTTCATATTTTTCCCTCTTGCAACAATACACTGCTAATTCTCTGGACACACAGTGCTATCCATATTTCCATAAGTTTCTTTTTTTTTTTTTTTTTCTTAATTTTTATTGTTCATATTAATACAAATGTCCCTTCCCACCCCACCCTCTGCCCTTTCCCCACCCCCCATTGTCCTCATCCATAGGTGCACAGTTTATGTTCAGTCTCTTCCCACATCCCCTTCTCCCCTTTTCCCCAAGAATCATCAGTTCACTCCCCTTCCATACCTCTGATTCTATTATATTCAACAGTTAATATTGTTCATCAGATTTTTTTTTTAATTTCCTTGGTTTTTAGATTCACTTGTTGATAGTTACGTATTTGTTGTTCATAATTTTTATCTTTATTTACTTTCTCTTCTGAAAGAACCCCCTTCAGCAATTCATATAATTCTGGTTTGGTGGTGATGAACTCCTTTAGCTTTTTTTTATTAGTGAAGCTCTTTATCTGACCTTCGAATTTGAGTGATAGCTTTGCTGGATAGATTATCTTTGGCTGTAGGTTCTTACTATTCATCACCTTGAATATTTCTTGCCATTCCCGTCTGGCCTGCATGGTTTCTGTTGAGAAATCAGCTGACAATCGTATAGGTGCTCCTTTATAGGTAACTATCTGCCTAGCTCTTGCTGCTTTTAATATTCTCTCTTTGTCTTTTGCTCTTGGAATTTTAATTATGATTTGTCTTGGTGTGGTCCTCTTTGGATTCCTTTTATTTGGAGTTCTGTGTGCTTCCTGGACTTGTAAGTCCAATTCTTTCCCCAGGTGGGGGAAGTTTTCTGTCACTATTTCTTTCAATATGTTTTCGATATCTTGCTCTCTCTCATCTTCTGGGACCCCCATAATTCTGATGTTGGATCGTTTGAAGTTGTCCCAGAGGTTTCTTACATCATCTTCAATTTTCTGGATTCTCTTGCCTTCTAGCGACTGCAGAGGAGTATCTTCTGGCTCTTTATGTTCCAAATCTTTGACTTGATTCTCAATTTTCTGGATTCTCTTGCCTTCTAGCTTCTGCGGAGGAGTATCTTCTGGCTCTTTATGTTCCAAATCTTTGACTTGATTCTTGCGATCTTCTATTCTGTTTTTAGGACTCTGTATAATAGTTTTTATTTCAGACAATGTATTCTTTATTTCTTGTTGATCCCTTTTCATATCCTCATAAGTCTCATTTATTTTATCGGCCTTTTCTAGGAAACTCTTGAAAAACCTTATAAGTGTGGTTTTGAACTCTATATCCAGTCGCTTTTTGTCCTCCATTTCTTTCGTTTGTGATCTATTTGGTTTAGGCATTTTCGCAGGCAGCTTTCCTGATGGGGCGGGGTTTCAGGGTGGAGCCTACAGCTTTGGCTTCCGTCAGCCCCGCCCTATGCGACTCCTGAGACTCAGGGTCCTTCAGTACTTGTTGTAAGCGCCTCTGAGAGAAAGGCGCCCTTGATTTTCGCCTGCTACCAAACAGTCTAGTCTCTCCCCCAATGGTCCCGAAACTGGGGTTCAGTTCAGTTGGAAGTGGAGTTGGAGGTGGCGTTCAGAGCAGACTGGAGCCCCAGTCTCCTTCCCGCCAGGCAATCCCGCGGCACAGCCGGCCGGCCCTTCTCTGCGCGGCGCCGCCGCCGCCGGGACCTCCTTTCGCCTCTTCCCCGGGGTTCAGCCTTTCAGCCCGGCTCCCTCTGTGTGAGCCTGGGTCCCCGGGGTCTGGCCTAGGCCTGGGGTTCAGAGCAGTCAGAATGGGGGCCAGCACATTCGGAGCGTTTATCTCCTTCCCGCCAGGGAACGCCCGCCAGGCACTCCGCCTCCCTCCTCTCAGGCTCCGTCCTCTCCGCGCACCGCGTGTCTCCGTACCTTAGGCTTTCCCAGCTCCTCCGCGCTTCCTTCTGGTTTTCTCCTTGCTTCTCGTTGTAGAATTTCCAGTCAGTCAACTTTCCTGTAGTTCTGGGTGATGTCCATTTTATATTTTAGTTGTATTTTGTTGAAATTGTTGTGTGCAGCTCGGCTAGGTGCCTACCCGAGCAGCCATCTTGGATTCTCCCCATATTTCCATAAGTTTCTTTATATCACTCTCCCCTTCCATGATCCTGGGGAAATGTGAGGTTTTTGCTGTATCAGCACATGCTCATCCCACTCTCTATCATCAGAACTTCCCTAGAGGGACTATTATTTCTGTACTTAATGTTACCACATTGTTTGCATTTTACTGTTGGGTTGAGGTAGGGTCTTAAATTTTTTCCCAAATAAATAACCAATCATCCAAAGATAGCTTAATGAATAATCATTCTTTCATCCTTAATTTGAAATGTTAGCTTTATCATAAAATAAATGTCAGGTCTATCTCTGGAGTGTCAATTCCACTGACTTGTGTGTCAAATGCTAGATGCTTTTTGTTATAGTTCATTATAGTGTGTCTTGATACCTTGTAGGCCAATTTTAATGCAGAGGGGGAGAGTAGACAGTATCTTATTTTTGCTTTATTTTGCACATCCCAAATTGCCCTACAGTTGAACACCTTTTCATGTTTCTTGGCCATTCATGTTTTCTCTTTTAAGGATGTCCAATTCATATCCTTTACCTAATATATACACTGAGCGGCCTGATTGTTATGACCACTCCATAGGTACTTCATCGGGCCACCGTTTGCCTTCAATACTATGGCAATTCTTCTTGGCATTGACTCCATGAGATGTTTAAAGGTGATGCGAGGAATCTGACACCATGCCTGATGGATAGCACTGTCCAGTTCTGTGAGATTTGATGGTTGTGAAACCAGCTGCCTGATGGCTCTTTTAACTTCATCCCACAAATGCTAAATTAGATTGAGATCTGGTGATTGTGGGGGCCACCTAAGCAAGGTAAAGTCTCCCTCATGTTCTTGAAACCACTCCTGCACAAAATGAGCTCCATGGCATGGCACATTGTCTTGTTGGAAGAAGCCATTTCCATTGGGATACGACATCAACATGATAGGATGAACTTGATCAGCAATGATACTTAGGTACATTGTGCTATTCATATGTTGTTCCACATGAATTAAAGGGCCCAGATCATGCCAGGAAAACATGCCCCAAACCATAACACTGCCCCCACCAGCTTAAAGGGTTGTACTCATGCATGTGGGGTGCATATTTTCATGCTGTTTCTGCGAAATTCTCACTCTGCCATCTGCATGATGCAACTGGAAACATGATTCATCGGACCATATGACTTTTTTCCAATGCTCGACTGTCCTATCCTTGTGTTCCTGTGTGAATTGGAGACGTTTTATCTTGGTAACTGCAGACAGCAAAGGTGTTCAAACAGGCCAGGTCTTCGGGTTCCATATCCCATACGATGCAGTGTACGGCTAATTTGCCCTCAAACGTCAGATGGTCATAATCATCTAGCCACTCTGTATATTGAAGAATTCCTCCTTCCAGGTCTTTCTACTGTATGGTGCCTTTCATAAAGTTTTAGGATGTGAGGGCGATCTGGCTACGACATCTGTCACCCCATTGATTGCCAGGGTTGATTCCGCTGATCTGGCTGGCTAGGCGGTGTCCCCCTCCTCCCTCACCGATCCATGTGCATCCCTCTCGAAGCTGCACGCTCTGTCGAAGAGGAAGACTTTCCCCCAAGAGGAGAGGACTGGTCTTCGGTCTGCGCTAGAACCTCCAAACAAGCTCTCAAGAATAAAGTTTTAAATTTAGATGCCATTAAATTTTCTATCTTTCCCTCTATGGCTTTTAATAACTTGCTCAAAAGTTGTAAAACTCTTCTCCATATTTTCTGAATTATTTTCAATATTTAGGCCACTAATCCATGTAGAGGGGAGAGAGCTAAATTATAATGGGGTGAGAGATTAAAGTTATAATAGGGATGGCGATACAGGATACCTGGAGGATAAAAAACTTAGCAACCCCTGTCACTTGTGGAGAGGGTGAGTTAGAAGTTAAACTGAGGCACAGAAGGGTTAGGTAACTAGTCTAAGCTTACGCAAAGTTAGTGGCAGAGCCCAGCAATATACTCCGCAACCCCTTTTCATAACCCCTTTTCGCAACCCCTAAGGTTTCAGACATCTAATGAAAAGGAAGAGCATTATTTCTCACAGGGGGCACGGCCCAGCTGAAGTTCAAACATTAGACTGGTGGTTAGTAGACTTCTACGTAAAGCACCACATATTTCCAACGCCTTTATCTCAAACGCGGGAAAGTGACGCTGAGAGTGGGGTCTCCCCAGCAAATGAGGTCCAGCCCACCAGGCCAGAATCAAGCAACAACCGCCCTGGGAGTTTCCGAACCCGCAGAACCTGCTTCTTCCCCGGAGGGAGGAGGTGGGAGGGGCGCTGGCCCAGGCCCCGCCCCCAGCCCCGCCCCGCCCCGCCCCCGAGCGATCGAGCGGTGCCTCGCGCACTCGCGGGATGTGCTGCGGCGATGGGGAAGGCGGCCGGCGAGGAGGCTTTCTTCCAGAGGGGCAGTCTGTTCTGGTTCACGGTCATCACCCTCTCCTTCGGCTATTACACGGTAACGGCAGCGAGGGCAGCGAAAGAGCGCTCCGTTGCACGCAGGGCCGGCGCCTGCGAGAGGCGAAGGCGGCGGTCGCGCAGGCGCAGTTCGGCGCGGCCGCTCTCGGAGGCGCGGGAGCGACCTGCCCGGAATGGGACGCAGGCGCACTGGCCGGCCCGCACCCCTCGCCGGCGCTCCGGGCCCCGAGACCGGCTCCTCAGGCTCTCCCGGAAAGGGGGCGGGGGCGGGCGCGGCTCTCCACCCCGCGGCTCAGTGTCTTCACCTCCCATGATGGTGGCGGCCAGGTCGGAGGGCAGCAGGGCTGCCACCGCCTACTTCCGCACCGCCAGACCCTGGCCCTCGCTGGTCACGGCCCTCGCGCTGGGCTATTTCGCGGTGAGGCGTGGGGGGCGGGGCCCGGCTGGCCTCATTGGGTGCGGGGCTGGGGGCGCGGTTCTGCGCCTGCGCTCCGGGCGGTTGCCTAGGTTACTGGAGTAAGCGGAAGTTCTTGGGCTCACGGGTCTGTTTCTACTTAGGAGGGTTCCAGCCTTTGCATCCCCTCCGCTCCAGGGTTACAACGGTTTACCGGAATCTCAGAACCCAGGAAGCCAAGGTTACGGGCTGCCAAGTCAGAGCAGGGCTTCCGAAGCAGAATGTTGGGGCAGTTAAAACTGCTTAGGAAACAGAGATAAAGCCCTAGCTAGTTTGGCTCAGTGGATGGATCCTTGGCCTGAGGACTGAAGGTCCCAGATCGATTCCGGTCTAGGACACATGCCCAGGTTGTGGGCGCGATCCCCCTTAGGGGGCGTGCAGGAGGCAGCCTATCAATAATTCTCTATTATCATTGATGTTTCTCTCCTCTTCCTTCCTCTCTGAAATCAATAAAAATATATTTTTTAAAAAAGAAAACGGAGATAAAGCTAAAGGATGGGTGAGACTTAATTGGTAAGGAGGGATAGAGAGAATGTAATGAGGAACCAAGGCAGATGATCTCTGATGAGAAAAGGGGTGACTTTTGTTTGACAGTTCATTTCTAAAAGTAGGTTGGGGACTGAGTTGGTATAATTTTGAATGAAGGCAAAACTATTTGGATATTGCCATGTAGATGCTGGTGATTGGGGATTGAAAGTGTGTTTGTCGTGTCCACAGTGTGTGTTGTGAAACCGGACCACCTTTGTCCTGATTTCCCCATATGTAAAATGGAGGTGTTGAACTGAAATTTTTCAAAGGGGCATTTCTGTTCTATGATTCTGCATCGCTGATTAGTTAGAATATAGATTGAGGAAAGCTTTGAGGGCCTCAAATGGGGATATTGTGGATAGATGCTGCCCATTCCATTCCCCTTGGTTTGGGAGAATGGAGTGATATTTAATGTTTTATTTAAATTTTAGGTGTCTAACAACATAACAGGAGAAGTAGTATTGATCTTGGCTGAATATGAATGGAACAATAAATTTTGGACCTATTGGGACTTAATTATTCTCAAAAGCCTAAGGTGACAGAGGTCACAACACAGAGACTGAGGGAAAGTTGCTAAGATTGCAAAAACCTTATGTGACTAAGTGGTTGCTGTGAGCACTTCGCAAACCTGATCTCACCACTTTTCCAGTGGATCAGTCCCAGTTTTAGACATAGAAAAAGTGAAAGGAGGCGATGGGATTGTAAATTAAATGGAAATCTGTCTCAAGCCATAGTTTCTGCAGCAAAGAAACGAGTCAGGACACATAAACTCTTAAAATGTGTTAGTAACCTGTATAAATTAATGTTTTAATGGAATTCATTAAGAACAGAAGCCATCCAGCCTGGGCACTGAGTCTGATAACCACATAGTTTCCTCAGAATGAGTCCCCCACTAGAACAGTGTTTAGGAAATAGAAGTCAAGATGCCTCAGATCACATTTCTTGGGTCTGTTCTTACTGTAGAGTCAGGATTATTTCCTAGCCTCTCTCAAAAATAAGCATTTGCTGGTTTCAGTGACCTAACAGGTATTGTGTGCCTCTGGTTCTCTTTCAGTGGGTTGTCTTCTGGCCTCAGAGTATTCCTTATCAGAGCCTCGGGCCCCTGGGCCCCTTCACTCAGTACTTGGTGGACCATCATCACGCCCTTCTGCGTAATGGGTAAGGAGGGCTGCGGAAGTGGGGTGCGGACACTGCAGTTCTAGTCCCACTGTGGACCTGGGAGGCCTGCAGTGGCCTGTACGGTAGATATCTGAGTGGTGTGAGTTCACAGTAAAACATTTTTTTTGTTTTAAATAAAGGTTTCTGGGTTAGATTTCACCAGCAGATAACCATCACCTTAAACCTGGCTGACTTTTGTTCCAGGTACTGGCTTGCCTGGCTGATTCACGTGGGAGAGTCCTTGTATGCCATGGTATTGTGCAAGTAAGTGTGTGTAACAGGTGTTTGTTGCTTTGCTCTCAGTATCTAATTTGAGAGCAACCACCCTTAAATCATTGATGGGCTTGTAGACTGAGAGCATTCTCCGGGTAGAGTTGAATCCCCACACCTAATACTGGGCCTAGCCCAGAGGGAGTACTCAGTAAATATTTAATGAACGAATTTATTTCACTTGTGATAGCTAATCAGTTATTTAGTTGCTTGATTTAGATAATTTTTCTTATGGTTTAAAAAATGTCTGTGTATGGTCCCCTGAAAAAAGAGCTTAGTTCCTGACCAGGGTTGATGATTCTCAATCCTATAATAGTTTTACAACTGAGCCACCTGAGGAGCTTTCTCAAAATACTCAAGCCTGGTTTCCAGACCCACAAGGTCCTGGCCTGCTTGGCCTTGCTTCAGACAAGGGAATGTTATTGTTACAAGCTCCACAAATCATTTTGGGGTGCAATGCAAGCCAAAAGCCCCTTGATTAAACTCCACTCAGCAGATGCCAGTGTAGGTTAATACTGAGTGAAAGTACTAGAAAAGATTCTCTTTACATTTGTACTTCACGTAGCATATACAGAAAGGATGGTGGAATGAAAAAGGTGTTGATGCCAAATTGCTATGCAGTTGATTTTTTTTTTCTGGTCAAGATTAACTGTCACTTCTACCCTGTTTCCCCGAAAATAGGACAGTGTCTTATATTAATTTTTGCTCCCAAAGATGCGCTAGGTCTTATTTTCATGAAGAATACAGTACATATTTATTGTTAAATGAAAGTATCAGTAGTACGATAGTTGTCAACACAAACCAGACAAACTGTGAATCCTACAGTATCAATAATTTACTCATTTATTCGATGATAATCATGTCATCATCTTCTGAACATCATCATAACAATCCAATTCCTGAATTTCCTGGTGAATTTCTTGTGACTCCATTTCTTTCAGAATCAGAGGACCAAATCTCTCATGTTTAGCCTAGGGAGGCCTTATTTTCGAGGGGGATACCTTATATTTCACTCAGAAGGAAACCTGTAAGTAGGTCTTACTTTCAGAGGATGTCTTATTTTCGGGGAAACACGGTATTATTGCTGTACTAGAAACCTGATGCACGAAATTCCTGCAAGACTAGGCCTTCCTTCCCCAGCTGCCGGCACCGGCTTCCCTCTGGCACCCGGGACCTGGGCTTCCCTCACAGAGGGAGGCCCCACCCACCCACCTCAGCCCACCTGTCGGTGGCCTGAGCCTCCCTCTTTGGGGCAGTTTGGAGGGCCCTCCCCCATCCCATTGATCACCTAACCAGCCTGTGGCCTGGGCCTCCTCTGCTGGGCAATCATGGGGCGATGATCAGGCCCCCAAACAATTGCATTGCACTCACCTTGGCTGGCCTGGCGCGCCAGTGGGTGTCATAGCACAGTCCGGGATCAGATGGTGGTCCAGAAGATTGGATGGTCGTTCCACTGTTCAGCCATCCAGTCTAATTAGCCTATTACACTTTTATTATTATAGATTATTTCTAAAAGTGGAAAATGTGATACTTTATTACTACTGTGTTTTAATAATAAAAATAATAATTCTTGGGTACACACTTGCTCTGAAGCCATCCTGGTGCTGTTTAACCTATCCAGCCGTCAGAATCACGTGAGAAACAATTCTGTGATACAGCTCTAGGCAGTAGCCAGGCTGCTTCCCGGGAAAGCGTGTACCATCCTAACTGCACAAGGAAAGTGAAAATAAATGAACTAACCATTCGAGTTAAGAAGCTGGAAGAAAAGGCAAAATAAACCCAATGAAAGTAGATAGAAGAGTACATTTAAAAAAATAGAAGATAATAACTCTGTGAAACCATAATACTAAAACTGTTTCTTCTCTTAAGGTCTAAAGGCATCACGAATGGTCGGGCTCAGCTACTGTGGTTCCTGCAGACGTTCCTCTTTGGGATAGCCTCCCTCTCCATCCTGATTGCTTACCGACCAAAACACCAAAAGCACACTTAAAGGAGATCTCCAAGCCTCTCCCTGCACTGACATCCAGCCTCACTTTTATCTGGGGGCGGTGTGTTTACTCCCCTTTCTGTTTTCTGGAAAGTTACGACCCTCTGGTTATTCATTATTTCATATTCTCTAGTTGGGTTTGAGTAGATAACAGGAAAACGTTTAACTTTCCAATTCTGCAGTCTAACCTATTGAGCAGAGTCCTTCTAGCTACCTTCTCGAAGGCCTAGGCTGTGTTGGTGCTCTCTCCCGCCATCTGGTGTAAGCCACGTACTGAATTTGCTGGTTTGGTATACCTGTGCTCCCACCCTTTGACTAAAACACCTTACCCGTACCATCTCCATCTTAGCTGATGAGGGGTTGCTTTTTGGTGAGGTAAAGTATTTCAGAGCTAATCGATGGAAATCCAACTCCGATTTTGTAAAAGCAGGGTCCTCTCCAAGGGAAATAATGAAAGTAGCATTAATGGTGCCGGGAACAATATGGTGCATTATTGAATGAAATGGACTAAGGAATAAAATGCTGTGAATTGTCTCTCCATTCAAATGCTGTATTTATATGTCAGTTTTGATATGTTGTACACCTTTCATCCTACCTTTTCTCAAATAGACTCTATTATCGGACTGTCTGTCCAGCTCAGATAGCAGGGTATTTTTCCACTGAGAGAAATGCAGAAAGCCCTGGTTGTGGTTCATGTGCTGCTGCTTATGCTTAGCTGCCCACAGCCCACTTGACTTCACATACACTGAGCCGCAGGCTGGCATGAGAGTCTCCTTTTATTGCAGGATTACTCTCTGGTTTCCATTAACACTTAATTTAGCTTATGATACAATCTACACAGCAAGTGAGAGGAGTATTCTGACTTTTTTTGTTGTTGTTATTGACAGTATTGCAGATGTCTCCCATTTTCTCCCTTTTCCCCCCTTCACCACCCTCCACCCCATACTATTGCCTGTGCCCATGGGTATCTACCTTGTTTCCCTGAAAATAAGACAGTGTCTTATATTAATTTTTTTCTCCCAAAGTTGCGTTAGGTCTTATTTTCAGGGGATGTCTTATCTTTCCATGCGCTAGGTCTTATTTTTGAAGGATGTCTTATTTTCGGGGAAACACCGTATGTTCTTTGGTTAATCTCTTCCTGTCCCCTCCCACTGCCCCCACCCCTGAGATCTGATATTCTGTTCCATTCATCCAAACTTCTGACTAGTCTGACTTTTTAAATGCCAAAAGTATAAAATCCTGCCATCTTATTTGGGGCATTATCATGCCTTGTAGCACAAAAAGATCTTAGTGGACAAATGGTGCCGGTCCGTCCTTTTACAGACCCATGGATGCATCCCATCCAGGTGAGGTAGCCGTCACACAGAGGGGCCAGCCTCTCACTGGGCCTTGTGTTTCTCTCCTTCCCAAACCACAGTGGTGTCATTGCTTTTGAACTATTCAATGGACAGCAGGTGCTTAGAAGTAAGTGTGTGAAGCAAAAAATAAACAAACATGGGGACATCTAGGCTTTGAATGGCGGTCATAGTGGTGATACAGAGAAACATCTTTATGATGAGTTTGGATGAAAAAAGGCTAGAGGCATTTTGGTGAAAGTAGCAGGATAGTAAGAATCCAGGCAAATTCCTTGATAGGAATAAAGGAACAGGTGAAATAATTAAGGCCAAACAATTTGAGCAATTTACAGCCAGCTAATGAGTCACAAGGTTTTATCTCCCCTAACCAAGGATACTTAGAAGCAAATGGTTGACACATTCCAGACCATCCTGGTCCTGACCCCTCTTTAATAACATTCTTTAAAAATAAAGCTAACCAGCTGAAGCCGTTTTGGCTCAATGGATAGAGCGTCAGCCTGTGGGCTGAAAGGTCCCTTGTTCCATTCCGGTCAAGGGCATGTACCTTGGTTGTGGGCACATCCCCAGTGGGGTGTGTGCAGGAGGCAGCTGATCCCATGATTCTCTCTCATCGATGTTTCTAATTCCCTATCCCTCTCTCTTTCTCTCGGTAAAAAAATCAATAAAATATATTGTAAAAATATAAATAAATAAATAAAACTAACGAGTCCAATGGTTGAACATTGACCTATGAACTAGAAGGTCACAGTTCAATTCCTGATTGGTTTTAGCTCAATCCCTGGTGTGGGGCATGCAGGAGGAAGCAAATCAATGATTCATCATTGATGTTTCTCTCTTTTTCTCTCTGAAGTCAATAGAAATATATTAAAAATAAAAACCTCAAGCGGCTAAAGCTGCCCAAGCCTGGCATCTCTCCTGCCTCTTCTCCAACCTTGTAAAAGATACCAAGGACACTAGGCGATGAAATAGCTCACTTTTGAGCTCATTAAAGAAATGCAGAAATCACTAAGAGTCCAAATAGATAATTTAATATCTTAAAGTTATTAGCATAAAACATGCTTGTTTTGACTGGGTTTACAGAAAAAGTTCATGTTATCTGTCATATGCCTTAAAAATTTAAGTGTATTTGCCAATGTAAAAATAAACAAAAATCCTGTTTTTAAGAGTTATGAAATACATTAGTAAATTTTGCAATCTGAAAATACTAATTACTTTTTGTTATCACTAAAAATTAAGAATTAATTTTAATTCTAAGAAGTATTCTAATTAAGTTAGAAAAAACTATAGCTTTGATAATTAAAAGTTTAAGTTATGGCAATATATTTGTAAGGAAATAGTGAAAAGATAGTTAACTCCAACGAAAAGGAACTAGGAAAGTCGCAGAAGGATTGTGTACATCACAGAACCATTCCAGACCCTCTCAGGCCAGACAGGCCTTGGTTTTAGTCCCTGCTTAATGACATTCTTGAATTTTTTTTTTTTTTTAAGAGGAAAGGGAAGCAAAGAGAGACATTGAAGTAAGACAGAAACATAGACTGCCTCCAATACACTCTCCTAGTGGGGATCGAACACACAACCTGGATTTGAGCCCTGACTGGGAATCGAACCCTCCACCTTTTGGTGTACAGGATGGTGCTCCAACCAGCTGAGCCACACTGGCCAGGGCATGACATTCTTTAAAAATAAAACTAACCAGCCTCATTAGTTCAGCTCAGTGGATGGAGCTTCGGTCTGTGGACTGAAGGGTTCTGGGTTCAATTATAGTCAAGGGCACAGGCCGGGTTGTGGGCTTGATCCCTAGTGAGGGGTGGGGTTGTGCAGGAGGCAACCAGTCAATGATTCTCATCATTGATGTTTTAATCTCTACTTCTCCCTTCCTCTCTGAAAGCAATAAAAATATATATTTTAAAATTTTTAATAAAAATAACCAGAAAATAATCCCTGAAAATAATCTATGCACACATTTTGATAAAGTAGCATATTAAAGGAAACACTTAAAAGCTAATTATTCTGTTAAGACCCTCCCCTGAGACCTCTCCTAGGATTCCCACTAGCCAACAAAAGAAAGCCCTCAAGACAAGGACCCACAGCAGGCTCTCACTGGGGCACACCCACGCCTTGTATATCTGCTGTATTTCTTCTAAACTCTGCGGGTCCCCATGAGACTTACAACCAGGGGATTAGTGGGCAGCAGCAGCTCGTCCCAGGCTTATCCCCTGAACCTGTCTCCAAGGCCCCCATTTTCTCTGATTCTCTCCTGTTCTAAAACCTTTCCTTTGTTGCATTCTAATAAACATACTCTCAAAATTACCTGGACTCTTTTTATGAAATCTTTCCTACACGAAGTCAAGAACCCACACACTACCAGCGGGCCCAAGGCAGACCCTCTCTGGGCCCAGACCTTGTCCGGTAACAGAAGCAGCCGTGGAGGCCAAACTAAACTGTTTTCTTACCCACTTCCTCCTCTCACCCCAATATAATTGTCAAGAGCTGGTATAATTTGGAAGAACAAGAAAGGATCACTAGAAAAAAACACCAACCCCTCCCCCCCCCATAAAACTAATGACCTCACAACTTAAACAGCAACAGGCCAGATTTATAAACTAATACTATTTTCTACACTCACCAAGTTTATTACTTGGCAATCCAAGTCTAAATGTGTTTTATAAATCATGGTTTTAAAATGTGTCTTGGGTTTAAGAGGTTATGTTCCTATTTTAAAGGTTATATATTTTGCTAAAAAAAAAAAAAAAAAAAGTCTTTAGCAAAACACCTTGCCGTCTGAGAGCCTGTGTGTGTTTACATGGAGAGTCTGAAATCACAGACGTTAGATCACCCACCATTGAGGTCAGAGTACAGAGAGCAATCATATTTTTATCTTTGCCCCAGCCCTTCCTGGGGCCTCCTTAATTAGTTATTTAGATACTCAAATTTGGCCAGTGGGAGCCCCTTCAAAGTGATTCTGTGCCCTCTTGAGATGCCTTCATCAGTTTTTGAGTATTTTCAACAAGTTGTCATTTTCCTGCCCTAGTCCTAGAATCAGCCATTTTCCCAAGCAGTTTGGCTTCCTTTCACTGGAGAAAAGTATTTTAAAACAACATCTGTGTGTCCCTTGTTGTCAATAGTGTCATTGCTTTAGAACTATTCAATGGACAGAGCTAAGGATGCACTTTTTTTTTTTTAAATAATGAATTGACTAGAGGCCCAGTGCATGAAATTCCTGCATGGGTGGGGACGGTTTCTAGGCCTGGCTGGCGATCAGGGCCGATCAGGGTCTTCTGGCTGCTGGCCAGGGCCTTCCTTCTTTCCAAGCCGCCCCCTGGTGGTCAGCACACATCATAGTGAGAAATCAAACACCCAGTCAAACTCCCAAGGGGGCAATTTGCATATTAGGCTTATATATATATACTATGTTTCCCCGAAAATAAGACCTACTTACAGGTTTCCTTCTGAGTGAAATATAAGGCATCCCCCGAAAATAAGGCCCCCCCTAGGCTAAACATGAGAGATTTGGTCACTGATTCTGAAAGAAATGGAGTCACAAGAAATTCACCAGGAAATTCAGGAATTGGATTGTTATGATGATGTTCCAGAAGATGATGACATGATTATCATTGAATAAATGAGTAAATTCTTGATACTGTAGAA